CCCCGGGGGGGCGCCGGTGCCCTGGGGAGGGCAGGCGGCCGAGGTGCGCGGCATCGCTGCCCTGCAGCCCCCGCGCCTTCTGTCTCCTCTGCGCGTGTGGAGGGGAGTAGGCTTCTCCGCGAGGGGCGTTAGCGCTGCGGCACGGGGCGGTTTCGTTCTCTGAGGAGCGAGGGGGCTGTTCTGGGCGCGGGGTGGGCTTTGCCCTAGGCAGCGGGGTCTGCTTTTGCCTGCTAATTGGGGTCTGCAGGCGGGTGACGCGTGGCGGAGTTTTCTCTGGCGTTGCAGGTGAACTGCCAGCGTGCATTGGGCACGGTGGAGATAAGGAAAAAAGGAATCCTTGTTCAGCGTGATTCCTGTTTCTGTTTTGCAGTGTACGAAACGCTATTTTTCTGTTTTTGCAATACTTCGTGCTGCCAGTATACAGAGCCACCTTCTCGTCAGGAGATGGTACTGCTGAGCTTGTCCTTCACATCTCCCCTATCCACTAGCAGCAAGCGTGTGGTGGGGAGAGGAAGAAAAATACTTTGAGGTTTACGTTTTTGCTTTAGTAGGTGGAAGTGGTGGGTATGTGCCATTCTTGAAAACTGTACTGATGTGGGGGAGGGTTATTTCCCTTCCCCATTTGTTGGAGTCAAAGTAAATGAAAATTGATGGTTGCTTCGGTTAATGTATCAAGAACTTTTTCCTAAGAATAGCGGAAACATCTGTTGTAATAGCCAGTTACAAAGCAGAAGATTGTATTTGTAGAGGAAATTTTTTTTAATGAGATAATATTTGTTAGCTATGTTCCTAAAGCTTACACGTTGTGCCTGAGAGGTTCCCTGACTTTGGGGTTTCCACTGCTAACAGCCAGCAGAAGTTTTGCTGATGATATTGTCATGGTTATTCTGTTTTGTTGAAAAAATGGGGTGCAGTTTTCAGGTTTTATTGTGAATTCTCGACATTTATTTTCTATCTGCCTAAAACTGGGAGCATTATCAGCCAACATAGTATAATGCACATTACAGGTGATGTAAGCGGGGAAAGCACTGATACAACCAGGCCACAAAGCATAAACTGATACAGCCTTGCTATGCTTCCAACTCTGCGCTTAGTACGGGGTTTTTCTCTTTCTTTAGAGCATCTGCACTGTGTTTTAATATAGGTAAGACCCCTGTACATGTTTGGAGGCATTTCCCAGAGTTTGCATTATTTTGTCTGCTACCTTATCTGATCTAGGGTATTTGTATTTTTTCCTTCTTCTTTCAAAGTTCATATAACTTTTCCTGAAAATGCCAATTGATGACATAGCGCCCGGTTGTCGAGCGGGCACCTTCCCAGGCCAGACAGGCACAAAGATACTGCTTTATTAAGAGCTACTTTTTTTTCAGATGCGAAACATGCAGCAAAGAGGAAGCTAAGTACAGATGTCCACGATGCATGAAATATTCGTGCAGGTATCTAGTATCTGAATTAAATTGGTTTGGTTATTTTCCTCACTCATGTTGAATGGTATGTTAATGTTTTTCTTTTTGTCGTTTCAGTCTATTGTGTGTAAAGAAGCATAAGCTTGCACTGAGCTGTAATGGAGTCAGGGATAAAACAGCATTTATCTCTGTAAATGAATTTACTGACTTGAACCTTTTGAGCGGTAAGAATATTCCTTGTGCTTGTTAAAATTCATTGTTTTTACTAGGTTAGCACTGCATTTTTCCTTGTTCTTTTTTTACCTTCAGATTATCGTTTCCTGGAAGATGTAGGAAGGACAGCTGATGCTGCTGCTCGACTTCCTACTATGCATAGTCCAACAACAAAAAAACTTGTAAGTTTTAAATTCGCAGCTTGGCCAGTTGGAGATAGGGTTGACTACCTTTGAATTCCCACTGAGGCAGTCCCAATCCAGATTTCAGAGCTGATACCTCTCTTATGAAAGTGTGAATGACCCTGAATTTCAGAGCCAGAAATCAAAAGAAGTCTTTCTAGGTTTCTGTAATAGTAGTATTGATGTCTGCGTCCAATTGCTTAGAAGAATAGATTGCTCACAGCGTACATTCTTAAAACTGATGCATGACCACTCTTGCTGTTTGATGATAGATGTGTGTTAAGAAAGCCTGAATGTTTCCTTCCACCTCCACAACCTTTTTGTATTTTTAACTACAAAATTCCCAGGTAAACAGTGGATTTATTAATTGCCTAAGAATTATTATGTGCTTCCCCATATACCAAATTAAGGCAACTGGAGTTCTGCAAAGAATAAATTTAAGCAACAGTGAAGTAAAAGGCAGCCTTCTAAGGGTGAGAGGAGATTTTCGTGAAACTCCTCTAATTCCAGTAAAGCATTAATGAGATCACAGAAATGTATGGCATTTCCTGAATGTCCTATGACGATAAACTGCAAAGACCAAGATCAAGAAGGGAAAAATTAAAAACCACCTAAAGCCAGAAGAACAAAATCCGCTCCAAAATATTTCAACTCATTGATTACTGAAGGGCATCAAGGCCATGTTGTTTTCCAGTCTTGTGAAGATATCTTTAAATACAGCACTAAACTTAGTTGGCAAGAACTCATGTTGATGACAAAGTAAATTCAGAATACTCCAGCTTTCTCTCAGGCTGAAGTCATACTCTGTGTCTGTGTGTACTTGCCACTGTGATGCCTTGAAAACGTGCACTGAAGATGGTGAGATGCTACACAGGTAGTAGCTTTTAGGGAGTGATACTAGGCATGTTTATGGGATGATACCCTTAGTGCTACCTTCAAATCGGAATTTGTCAGAGTGGCTGACATGGTGCGTGTGCATCCCTTCTGCTAGCGAGGTTGTAGCCCAAAAAATAGCTCCGTGGGTAGTGTTACACCCACAAAGGCTGGCAGTGGCTTTCACAATGTGTAACTATAAAGAGGTTGTTGGCATGTTGTTTTTTAACCTTGGAGAAACTTCACCTGAAAATGTTTCAGGTAGTTTCTAGGCTTACTTTATTAACGTTATCATTCGTGATGGTTTTTTTGTAAAAAGCTGAAGAAAGTACTTCATTAAATATGGCCTTTTCTACAATTTTCCTATAATTCCTGTCAACATTACTCTTTTACTGTTTAACTTTCAGGTTTTTAATATATTATTCAGATTATTTTTTTTAAATTGGTTTTATTTTTTCCTAGTTATGTTGCTTGAGAAACAAAGCTCGAAAGTGTAATATTGACCTGAGAACGCTGCCTGTTGGATTTACAAAAAGAAGAGAAAATTCAACCACCTTCAATTGCATGTGAGTCTTCAGTTGGTTACAGTCAGCAATGTTTTGTTTTCACTGAATGCATAATGATGAGAATCTGAATTCATACCAATATACTTGCTTTTAAAATCTGTTAGATGCATGGGTTTTTTACAAAAGCTATCTAGATTTAATGTTTTGTGGTGCAGGTTTTCATTTTTTAGGCTCTTTGAGCTCAGTTGAACAGCTTATGAAATTCATGCTTTATTTTGAAAAATACCAACCACCATTGAGTAACAGGAGGAAGAATCAGCACTGTTGTGCTCTTCCATCTTTTAATTAACATTGACTTTTGTTGCTAGAAAAGAAAACACTTCTTTAAAGGTTTATGACAATGGATTGATGTAGAATGATTGCAAAAATATCTCTCTCTGAAAAGGCTGATTTTAAGTCTGAAGAGGTGCTTCCAGCATAGTTCTTTCCGTTGCATGCCATGTTAGGAGTTGCTGTGCTGGAGGATGTGGATGCTTGATATGGCACAGTGTAGAGAGACAAGTGCAGACAGACAGATATGAATTCAGGAAAAAGGCTAAGAAGACTTTAAATGTTCTTCCCTTCATCCACTCTGTGGGTTTTCTCTGATATCTGGAGTTTGTATTTCAAAGGATTTTCACAGTAAAAATAAAAAAATATAAAAAAAAAATATTACACAGTATTTCATTATGGCAGGAAACAGGTCTGGAGTTCATCTTGGTGATCTACTGGGAGCGAATACAAATGCCTTCCGGGCTCCCCACAGTAATCAGCTGTACCAGCTACCCCTGCTGGCTCCTTCACTTGTTTTCTTCATGATCTCGGTCTTGGTGGCAAGTTCTGCTCCCAGGACCGGTTTTTCCCTCTGTTCTGCACGGTGCCGATGGCTGGGCGCTGACTGGCCACCAGGTGTCTCTCTCTGGCAAAGCAAAGACCGACCTGAAAAAGCAACCCCTCCACAGACTTGCCTCTGTCATTTCTTCTGTTCTGGGGCAAAAGCTGAGGGGTTTGGTTTAGCAGAACATAGGGCATAAAATAGATGTAGAAGCGTAACCTTTTAAAGTTACATATTTTACCGGTTCTGCTAGAGAAAACCCAGGGTGGACCAATGGATAGAAAGAACATCTGGGGCATTTTCTCCTCCCTCAGCCCCAAATTTATACATCACTGAGGCTGTCTGCTCAGAACAGACCAGGTGGTAGCCCCAAACCTTGCACATGTTAGTCATTTGAGCAGAGGCTGTCTGCTTCTGCACTGACTTGCTTTTTCTTGGCCGCATGCTCTACCTTTTACAGATACCTTGTGCTAGGCTCATGCTGTTGAAGTATCTCCCTCTTAGAGCTGCGTTTATCTTTCCTGGGGAATTTCATTAACGTTGTGGATAAAACAACATAAACACCCTGAAGGAGTACAGGGTAAGGAGTAGTCTTTAAGAGCCAGAGCAAGGGCAGAAGGCCCAGGGGTGCTGGGATCAGTAGCTAAGAGAAAGATAGAAGAACAGAAAAGGCACAGATACAGGGAGGTTTGACACTATTGGGAAGATCCTGGGCATGGTACAATGCTGTGCTCACAGAAATTTGCCTTCATGTACCATGTTTTTTAGTTCTTTTTCTCTGTAAAGCGTTTTTGGGTACATACTGAAGTGTAGCTTGCATTGGAAACAAATTAAGCTTTGAGCAGATTATGCTTTCACGCATATCATGTGCTTTATGTTGTTTAACCAGAAGCAGATTTAAAAACTAAGAGGATGGGGCAAGGAAGGTGACTTATTGGCAAATAGACATGGAAATATTTCACAGGCTGTCTGGGAGAATGCCTTACTGTTTTTTTGTCAATCATAAAGTCCTGGGGTATTATTTTGTTGTTGTTGTTGCTGTTTTGGAATGCTAGCCTTTCTGAGACTTTCACATCCCATAAGAAAGAACATGATAACATTGTCTGTTCTTAAGAGGATAGGAAGTAACCATCTCTTTCCTGTAAATGCTGTCCAAGGGTATGGAATGTGCTCAGCAAGTAGTACACAAAGGACATGTTTCCTCTCTTTTGCTGCTACTGCTATTCATGCAGTAATGGGCTGTTTGAATTCAGTGATGCAGATTAAAAATTAACCTTTAGTTTTGGTTGGTTTGGTTTTTTTTTAATTGGCATGTTTTGCTTGCTCTCTTTAAATGGGCTCCTGAGGAACCAAACCTTAAGGTTTGATCGAACCAGTGAGTATCAGCCATTTGACACCTATCCCCTGTGACTTCATGACCCCCATAACATTTTGTTGAATATTACATTCAGATGGGGTAAGGCTGTGCAAATAATTGCATTACATGAGCTTAACACCTGACAGTGGTCAGGGTCTGTTATGTCTACTTTTCTGTAGATCCAAACCCCTTCTCATGCTGTTTGTCAGTCGAGATTTGTAGAGGGGTTGCTCCAGAGGGTGGAGGTTGGAAGCTGCTCAACATGTGCATGGAAAGCTGAGAACAGTCTTCTCTGATGTCCTCTTCACAGTCCCCATGCAAGCCAAGCTGTTAGGCTGTACAAGGTAGGAATGAGAGTAATCCAAAACTAGGAAGTACAAGATGTATTCTTGTGTCATCCCGTGCCCCTGCCAACTTTGGAGGACAGATAAGTGGTTGTTTGGATGTGTTAACCAGACTCTTCATTTCCTGCTTTCCATTAGTCTGTTTGCTGAATTTGGTGTTGTGAAAGCATACGTGCCAATGCTGGGCAACACATGGATTAGACTTAACTTGTAATATTGAATATCTAGATAATGGAGGGTTATTGGACAGTAGAGTCTGAGTCCAGTTTGTGAACTCATGGGACACCTGACTTAGAGATGGTTTAGGACACCTTATTCGCAAAATATTTTTCATGTGCTGCTTCACCCTACCTTTTCTATGGTACCCTTATTTTCCAGTAGAAGTGGTAGTTCCCCTTCTGGACACATGCTGCCATGGAGTTGGGGTGGCCCGCTGGGTAGAGAGCCTTTGGGAAGGGGCAGAGAATGTGACCAGGTTGGGACGAGGGCTGGGGCAGCAACTGGAGAGCTCTAGCCAGCAGGTCAAACGGGAAGAGGGGAGGGAGCTTGCAACTCCATGGCTCCTGGTTCCCTGGCGGGAGATGATGACAGCGGTGAGACGCTGAAATGGGGCAGTGCAGCTCCCTCAGGTCTGCAGCCTGTGCTGCCCTGCTCCGAACCTCCCTGCTGCTTACACTGTCATAGGCATCTCCACCCAGCCTCCTCCCCGCTCTGTTCACAGCACCTCCCAGACAAAATCCTTCTTGCCTCTCCTCCCCACCAAGAGGGGCCAGAGGGCTGGCTACAAGTCTCCTCCCTGGCGGCAGGCACGCCTGCAGCTTGGCAGCATTTGATCAGATGATATATGTGGGAGAAGGAGGAATCTTTTTCATTCTCTCTCTTGTCTGATTTAATTCTGAGAACAAAATACAGTGTGGAGATTTGGGATTAGCATCAGTTAAGAGATCATCAGTGTTAGAGAAGCTACTTTGATGTACACCTGAAAGCCCTAAAATGTCAACTCTAATCCCTAGCTAGGTAGGGATAATTAAAATTGTTTGAAGTGTTGCTGATCTTGAGAATTTACCAAGGAGTTATCTGAGCTGGGTTTTGGGCTAATGCTACACTGTTGGAGCTGTTAAACTTGAATATAGTTGTTACTTAGTACATAGTTTTGCTTGCTTTCTAGGACCCTCCAAAGTAAGTTCCCAGGCAGAGGAATGCTACTCTGGAGTGATCAGAGAGCAGGATGTTAATGAATTTCAGTAAATCAGTAGCTTTTCAGAGCAACCCCATGTGAAGATGAGTACTGACGGAGTTCTGTACCTGAGATTTACTCTTTTTTGTTGTTGTTTTGTTTTGTTTAGCAACTGAAATGTTTCATTCTATAGTGAATCTGATGGTAATTTTGTTTATTTGCAGAAGTTAAAGAGGACAGTAGTTTTATTCTTTAAAGATTATTACAGTTGGGGTTACTTGGCCTTGACCGTGTCACTTTGATTTACACAGGAATCTCAGTTCAGGCCCGGCATGTTTGATTATTGCAACACACATGGTTAGTAACATCTCCTGCTGTTGGGAGGCCCCTTGATAGAAGACCATATGTGTTACAAAGGAGGTGCACTTCAGTTTCTTCATTGATTGTCTTACTGTTTACTGTAACTAGGAAACTTATGAACTTTCAGTAGAAATATTGCAGTTTTTACTGTTTATACATCAAATCCAGGAATTAGCTTGATGAAGTTTCAAGGAAACAGAGACATCCACTTTTGTATGCTGTTGTTAGAAGTGCAACAAAGTCAGTTTGGCACTAGGAACACAGAGTTTGGTGGGGACGGGGGAATGAAATCATCACACCTCTGCGTGTTCTCTTATTTTAAATTTTTATTTTTTTTAATCCACAAGAGAATCTAATCACTTACTTGGGCTGAATCTTCATTGCTTAAGAAAGTTGAGAAAGGCATTATTATCCAAAAGTGTAGATACTGAATGCCCAGTATTTAAATTAAACTTCAGTGCATTAGGTGAGAGTACTGGGTATTGTCAAATTAAAGGATAACTGGTCCTTCATTAAACTTACTTACGTCCTTTTCATCTCTTTTATCAATTCAAAATAACATAGAGAGGTCTCTACAGTATCTGCGCTTTGATGTAAGATGTCCTGTATACTGTTTTTAAAACATATTAAGAATATTAGTTGATAAATAGAAACAAAATCATCAGTGAATTGCTATCTTTGACTGGCTGGCAGTGAAGTACTTCTGCAGGGCCAGAACTGCAGTTGGTATCTTAAGATGGGTTGAATTTGGAATTTTTTGTCTATATATATTTTATTTTACACATACATATACATACACACACACACAAAATCTTCTACTGCAATCTAGGCAAAATTGACTTCAGAGGAAATGTAGGTAAGAAAGTTAAGCGTTATGAGATATTTCATAAATGTTTTAAGAAATAACACAAACATTGGACACTTCTAAAAATCTGTCAAGGTATTTAACTGGTATGTCCAAGTGCCAGAATCCTTTGTAGATATGTCCTTTAATTCCAAGCAGCTGTACTGCCTACCCCCACAGTACTTGGAGTGTCTTCCTAGGTACTGCATTAACCATAAAAGATGGTGAGAATTTTTGCAGTTGTCCTGAGAGCTAGCTGGAGGTAACAGCCACTTTGTATATACTGTTGCTGTCTTTGTAACATCAGAAATAAAAATCTTTCAGTTGTTGCTGCGAAAAATTTAAAAATCATTTACATGTAGTTCTGTGAAAACTACAGTTGATAATAGAAAATAATTTTTTGGAAGTTTTAGGAGAAATGAAAGGGAGACAGTTACTTTGCTTTGGAAGAACAGTAATTGCAAAACAGCCTGTGCAGTTCTGAACATAATTTGCAGCTACATCTCATGCAGGGGAAGAGGTGCTTGGCTCCTCTTTTTCCCTCTGATCAGTTTCCATGCTTCTGAAGTAGCCAAAATAGGATGTGAAGCCAAGCAATGCAGGGATGGGCTGTGATGCTGCTTTTACTGACATCAACAGTGCTTGTGCCTCATCCAGATCTCTGCCGTTTGGTAGTTTTATAGTCAGTGCTTTGGTATTCAAGAAAACTGTGGAGTGGCGTTCCATGGCAGCCGAGCGGCATGGAACACTTCATGCAGTGAGTTGTTACTCAACTGCAGATGACTCAATTAAGCATTTTCTTCTAGAAAATGAGCATAGTACATGTCAGTTGTATTTGAAGGAAATACTACCCCAGTGAGCCATAGTGGAAAATGAAGTCAGTGAGATCTGGAGCCAAGATACCTAATTTTAATCAGAACTTGTTGTGAAACAGCTTTGATAGCATCTACAGTTGACATCAAGTTCTCTAGCTGGCCAGAGATCAGTGATGGTGAGGGATGCTTCATGTTAATAACAGGCATCCAGCAGGTTGTTTTTCAAGACTTCATGGTACAGCAAAGAGTATGAGGATATTCCAATTCTAAGCTGCTTTTTTCCTTGCCTCCTTCTACCCTGTTCTTAATCTATTTTACCTCTTTCTGCTTGCCATTTACTTTCAGGCAAGAGTACTTAACTGCAGTTTCGGTATTGGCATGCTGAAAAAAAAAAAATCAACATTTCTGTTTTTCCAAAGTGAAACTTTTTGACAAGGAATGATCTTTTTAACTTCAGTGTTCAGAATCCCTGATTCATAGCTCTTTCTGTGCACCCTTCCGTAGACTAGATTGTACCTGGAAGGAGGAGGGAGGGTGAAAGTCTGAAAAGAACCCTCTTCAGCTGATTTTACAGCTGCAGTGATGAGCTGAGTCTGCCTCAGTGAGCCCACAGGGAACTGTTCTTGCATGTGAAATCAGAATGTGCTGTGTGAGACCATGTCTGCAGACACATAAAGAGTATTCCTAACAACAAGTAGCAGATAGCTAGAAGTACTTCTGGAACATTTCTTTTTCAAGTGCCTGTGTTAAAGACAGCGCTCTAGGCCACATACATGTTTCTGTGAGCTGTGTCACAGTTTGTCTGTTTCCACTTGGGAGAGGAAGATATGTAGTACTCCTCTTGCTTTGGCTGTCTTGATTTAAAAATCTGACAGAAACAAAGTCCATATCACAATAAGTGTTGGTCACTTAGAGTAGATAAACATGGCCTGTTTGAAAAAATTGTGGAAGATGATGAGTTAAATGAAAAAATGCCAGAAAGCCTCATTTTAGTTGATAACTTATAACAAAAACCTCATCTGAACAGTCCTTATCTTGTAAGTATTTTAATAAATGTGCCCATCATTAGTGTTTCCTGCAGCTAATGATGGTGACCCTATTTCTATGTCTAAAGATTAGGAACTTTTACTAGTCTGCTTGGGAAAGTGCTTTGAATTAATACCATGCCATGTTAAATACCAGATATTAACATATGTCTGAGGAATCACAAGCTTGTTAATCACAAGTCAGTTGCACTGGTTCCATAACCCTATCAATATTCCAGTTTGCTCTATGTTTATGGTAGCATTGATGCTTCCTTCAGCTGTCAGAATGAAGAATTGCAAAACTTTGTTTCACTTATCTTGCAAAAAACTTCCAAAATTCCACTCACTGATTTTGAGTTATTTCAAAACCTTTTTCAGCTTGGTAGTTTAAGATGGTATCATACCAATATGCAAAATAGCATAAAATTGATGAGGCAAGGTACTATGTCAGCTTCTGGTTATATATGCTATGTAATTAATAATGTTTTTTGTTTTATCCTCCAGCTCTGGTCATACAATCTTCTTACCTCTTTCAGACCTGATGTGCTCTAACTTTACCTTCTCATTTAAGGAAGGCTCTCTCATTCTCAGCTTTAACATGAGCAGATAGAGGGGAAGAATCACAAGGCGTGCTGCCCAACTCTGCTGAGTCACATGTTGTTTTGGGGAACTTGGACTTCATTGGTTCTTTTTATTCTGATTATTAGGTCCTTGGAGCTAGGGTTCTTGCTTGCTCTTTTTTTGATAAACACTAACGCTTCTGATTTTACTTATACTACAGGAAGTATAGTTCAGCTGTAAAGTTTAGTTTTCTCCTAGGAATAAGGAGGTAAGGGAATGATTGTTTATTTGATAAGAGCACTTTTTATAAAGTGCTTGCATTTAAAAATGGTACCATAGTTAATTGAACTTAGCAGCTAAGTTTACTGTTTTGCTACTGGATGCATGTACACTTGTCTCTGCAGCCAGCTAGAACCTGCTGGATAATGTTTCATCTGCCTGATAAACAAATTAAACATGTTGGAACAACACTGTGTTTACTTTTAATTGTAGTACCGAAATCTTTGCATAACTGAGGGTAATTATCCTGGATATAATGATTCATAGGTCTTAAGCAGTGTTTTAAAACACAAATTTAAAAAAAAGGAGGGGGAGTACCGTTAGACATTCCTATGCTTCACATAGATGTCTGGCCTCTGATTTCTAAATGCTAGTAGTTCCCTCCTTCCTCTTTCAAATGTTTGCTCTTAGTCATGAGCGTAAAATTCTGAACCAGACCAAAGGGCCATGCCCCTACCTTTTAGCTGTGCTTTTTCTTAGGAGATTCTTATAGAAAAATATTGTTATGCTCACCATACTGAATCGGAGAATTTGGAGCAATGAGAGGAAAAATACTTTGTCTTAAGTCAATATTGACTTCAGCAGCATTACAATGGACTGCTAAAGACTACATTGAGAGCAATGGGTGGTGAGGCCTTCAAACATTGGGATACATGTTTAGCAAAAGCCACGTGGTTAGTCAACACCAGAGGATCTACCAATTGAGCTGGCCCTGCCCAATCAAAACTTTTACGTACTGTAGAAGGGGATAAAGTCCCTGTAGTGCACATAAAAAATACGCTGGGGAAAACAGTCTGGGTTATTCCTGCCTCAGGCAAAGGCAAACCCATTCATGGGATTGCTTTTGCTCAAGGACCTGGGTGCATTTGGTAGGTAATGTGGGAGGATGGAGAAGTCCAATGTGTGCCTCAAGGGGATTTAATTTGGGGTGAGAACAGTCAGTGAATTAAATTGTATGATGTTAATTGCTATATAATGCTGAGTAAAAAGGCAAAAAGAGATTTCCTAATCTAGCGAAGCATCCTCTAGGTAATACTGCCTTTCTTAAGATGACATTGTACTGGAACCATGCTTCAGTAACATGTATTCTCAGGGTTTAATTATGCTAGCTGGAAAGGGAAGACAGTTCTTAAAACTAACAAACTGGAGAAAGGAACATGACATTGATCTTGGTCTCTACCAAAAGCTTCCTGATCTTTCTGTAAAAGATTTATTCTGTTACCCACGTTATGCCAAAATGCAGCTTCCCTCCCTACCCATGATGTGTTTTCTATTGAGGCCATCACTGCTGTGAAAAGTTGAGTCCCCTATTTTGTGTAGAACCTGGCCTCAGCTGGGACCTCTGGCTATTACTGTTGCACAGGTTTGGCGATCTGTCCTGGGTGATATGCCAAAAAGCAGTTTCCTTTTCTGAAATTAAAGGTCAGCTATACATACAGAAAGTCAGCTGGAAGATACTCCCTTTTAAAATGTGAAATGCTGTTGATCAGTTAATTGGTGTTAAGTTACCTGTATTTGTAAGGAAGATATTTTTGTCCCATGAGGACTTGAAATTCAGCAGGATCTGGGAGCATTGCATCTTTGAAAGTGCATCTTGGCTTCGCTGCATGCACCTTTTACTCTTTGAAAATGCCATTCAAAATTTTGACTATATTTCTTCTGTACCCATGCCGCAGGCTACTGAGCTTTATCATAGAAAAAACAAGTAGTAGTTAACAGCCAACATTAAGAATATGCGTTTCTTTTTCTTTTCAGGGAGAATAAGTTCTACTGGCATTTGAAGCTCATATTTCCTCACTGTCGTGCTGAATACACTTTAAAAGGGTACAGAGCTTGAAAAACAGATTTTTATAAAGTTTAAATTACTCTGCTGAAATTGAACTGCAAAATATTTTGATCAGTTCTTATCTATTTCTATTATACAAGGTAAACTCGAATATTATTTTTGGTCTTAATTAAAAGGGCATTTAAATTGAAAAAAAAACCTTAAAGCTGTGTAGTCCTTTCCTCTTTGGAAGCTAGCAGGCTTTTCAAATCAGGCAAAATGTTTGATTGTTAGTCCTTTTCTCTGTGTAAACAGAGGAGCTGGTATATGCATGATAGCAATATCCCGTACACCTAACATACCCTGTTCTCATGGACCAGACGTTCAGGAGGATTTGCCATCCCTCCTCGCCTGCACACTGGAGCTGACCTTTACATAGGATGAAATGGTTGCATTGTTTGCTTTGTAGGAAAGCCCACAAACACATTTTGCAAAGGCCAAAAAATAAGCTTTTGTTGACAAATCTTTCTCCTTTTTTCCTAGCCTGAAGGGGGATGAGAAGTATGCCCTTTTCTACTTCTAGGGCTGTAGGAACAGCATGTTACTGCTGCAGGGTTAGAAACTAGAGATACGCATCTGTTTACTCCCTGTATATGCCAGTGAAGTCCCAGTGTTGAAATTGAGATAAAGCTGTCAATTATTTATGCTGTATTGATACACATTTATGATCCTCCCATAAACTACTCAGTTGTGCCACTGTAGCATGCAAATACACAGCTTCCTCCAAATGACTCAGATAATAGATTTTTTGTGTACATGATGAACCATGTTTTACATATTTGATTTTTATCTTTGCTGAAAGGGTGCCTGATGATAAAACACTCGCTGATATCCTTAAGCCGTACATTGATCCAGTGGAATCAGATCCTGTAGTTTGTCAAAGGTGTGTATTGAATAACTTTTCTGCCTAGTTCATCTAATGCACTAATTAAAAAGGGAACGGTTCTGAATAAATGGCTTAAACTAGCTGCACTTTCAGCATGGAGAACTGAGTTCCCAGTCAGCAGTACATCTTTAATTCCTGTGATGAAAACCATCCTAACGTTCACCGACCAGCTAACCCTGGAGTATAGCCACCAAATTTAAACCAGGAAAATATTAAGAAATTGACTTGTGGCATAAAGATCAAATGAAGCAACTGTAATTCTAAAAAATGTAACCGTAATTAGCCTCAGTGGGGGTGACAGTGAACCTTTTCTTTAGAATAATTAGAAAAACATACTAGTAATTCCAGCCCTCATTTATAGGAAATACTTAGTACGTGGCAAATTATTGTCTTTATGAAGAAATATATACTGTTGGCTGTTGACATACAAAAGGTACCCATCTCTTACAGATGATAGGAAGAAAAGTTGTACATCATTGTTTCTTCATCTCTGTTGCATGTTCTCTTTTTCAGGTTAAAAATCTATACAGCGTCTCCTCAGTCAGATGTACAAATTTTAATGAAAATAGAAAACAGGAAACAAAACTCTATCAGGTAAGGCGGTTCTTCAGTTTGTGTGCTTAGTAATTAAAAATACCAAAAAAGAAATAATACGTTTCTTAGTCTTTAATATTATGAATCAAGATTACACAATCTCTTCAGTGAGTAATTACCAGCCATCTTAAAAATGATTCAGCAAAAATGTTATTTCTTTGTCTTTTAATGTGTCAACACTGACATTTCTGTATAGTTAGTGGGTAGTAAATTCAGCTGACTTATACTTGGATGATTGAAGAAGCTAGGGCACTCACAGCTACGTTGGTGGAATAGTGAGTGTGCCTGTACCTGAGCTGCATCAGCAGCAGTCCATGCAATGTAACAATGTCTGCAGCAAAGATAGGTTTGTGTTAAAATGTTAAATTACTGTGTTGACCAGCAGAAACGTAGACATCCATTCCCTTCTGCAAGTTCCTCTGTGGATATGTTAACCTCCCCAAGAGAGCTGAAGTGATAGTTGAGGAGAGCTGTCTTCTTAAATCACTGCAGCAAAAATTATGTGCTTATCAGCATCCAGTCATTGCATTTGAATTAACACATTTTTCTCAAAGTTACTAGCTCATCACTCTTCATGGTACCATATTTTTGGGTGTGGGCTTATAAGTCTCCAGAATTCAGACTTGTGCAGAATTGTTTTCTTTGTTTCTAGAACAGACAATAATCTTGAACTTCAAAATTAAACTTTAAAGAAATAATTTTTCTTGGTATAAATACCATTTTTGAACACTCCACCCTGTTGTCATTGTTACTGAAAAGGATATGTATCAGCTTAATATCATAGCTTATTGTGGTTGACCAGTGATTCCTAGTTAGGGTTCTTAAAGTACATTCTTTTCTTCAAATGTAACAAATGTAAATAATATGCTTCCCTAAAGCATGGTATATTATTTCTAAGGAGGGAAAAAAGGTATATTAAAAGATTTTTAGTTGTAACTGAGCTTCCTGTTTGTGCTGTATTTTTCCCAGTACTATTCAAAAATGTGTAATGGACTTGAATTTCTAAGTACAAACTTTTTGTGGTTTTGATTGATTTTTTTTCTCTTTGAAATCATAGTTTGAAATATGGTTGTAACATTTGCCATCAGAGTTGTCAGCTAGAAACCTGGTTTTAAGTGAAATTGAAGATCGCAGAGCCATGGTTTGTATATGGAGGGAGAAGACACGAAAGGCCAAAGCTCCATTAGAGTTGAAACTGGCCAGTGTTGTTTCAGATAAGAAGGGCTTTTTAAAGTATGTTAATCGCAAGAGGAGGTCTAAAGAAAACATTGGGCTGATACTTGTTGAAGATTGACATCTGACTAACAGGGATGAAGAAAAAGCAGAGGCATTCAACGCGTTTATTGCCTCGGTCTTTAATAATATTGATAGACCTTGGGCTGCCCCGTCCTCTGAGTCGGAGTACTGTGAGTGTGGGAACAGTGACGTTCCATTTGTGGACACTGAAACTGTAAGGGACCAGCTGTATCAGCTGAATGTTCACAAGTCCGTGGGGCCTGATGGGATTCCTCCCGGAGTACGGAAGGAACTAGCGGATGTTATGGCAGGACCCCTCTCGATCATCTACCAAAGGTCTTGGGAGTCTGGGGAGGCCCCTGCTGGCTGGATGTTGTGGTTTAACCACCATGCAGCCACTTGCTCACTGCCCTCCCCCTCCATCCCCCCTCAGTGGGATGGGGGAGAGAATTGGGGAAAAAAAAGTAGAATTCAAGGGCTGAGATAAAGACAGTTTAATAGGACAGAAAAGGAAGGGAAAAAAAAAGATGAAAGAATTAGAATATGCAAAACAAGTGATGCACAATGCAGTTGCTCATCACCCATCAACTGATGCCCACCCAGTTCCTGAGCAGCAGCCCCTGGCCAGCTTTCCTCCTAGTTTATATACTGAGGATGATGTCATATGGTATGAAATATGCCTTTGGCCAGTTTGGGTCAGCTGTCCCGGCTGTGTTTCCTCTCAGGTTCTTGTGCCCCGCAGCCTACTCGCTGGTGGGGCGGGGTGAAAAGCAGAAGAGGCCTTGACTTAGTGTAAACACTGCTTAGCAACAACTGAAACATCTGTGTGTTATCAGCATTAGTCTCATACTAAATCTGAAATGGAGCACTATACCAGCTACTAGGAAGAAAATTAACTATCCCAGCCAAAACCAGGACACTGGAAGCTAGCCACTGTTAATCCAATTTGCAAGAAGGGCGTGAGGGAAGACCCAGGGAACTGCAGACCTGTTAGTCTAATCTCAGCTCCTCAAAAAATTATGGAGAAGATTATACTGAGTACTGTTGAAAGGCATTTAAAGAATAATGCAGTCATCAGGCACAGTCAAGATGGGTTCATAAAAGGAAAGTCCTGTTTAACTGATTTGATATCCTTCTATGATAAGGTCATGCACCTAGTGGATGAAGGGAAGGTGGTGGATGTAGTTTTTTGTGGGTTTTAGTACAGCTTTTGATACTGTCCCTCACACCATCCTTCTAGACAAGTTGTCCAACTGTGGGATGCGTGTGTGCTGGATGAAAAACTGGCTGAAGGGCAGAGCTCTAAGAGTTCTAGTGAATGGGGCTACATCTGGCTGGCAACCGGTCGCCAGCAGTGTTCCTCAGGGCTCGGTTCTAGGGCCAGTTCTGTTCAATACATTTATCAACGATCTGGAGGCAGGAGTTGGATGCACCATTAGCAAATTTGCTGATGATGCCAAACTGGGAGGTGCTGTCGACTCTTTTGAGGGACAAGAGGCCTTGCGGGGGGATCTAGATAGATTGGAGCATTGGGCTATGATGAATGGGATGAAATTAACAAGTCAAAATGCAGGATTCTGCACTTAGGATGGCGTAATGTTGGGCACAAGTATAAACGGGGAGAGGAATGGCTGGTGAGCAGCCCTGCAGAAAGGGATCTGGGGATGCTGGTCGACAGCAGGCTCAATAGGAGTCAGCAGTGTAAACACAGCATGACCAGCCGGTCAAAAGAGGGGATTATCCCGCTGCATTCTGCATTGGTGTGGCCTCACCTTGAATACTGTGTGCAATTCTGGGCCCCACAATTTAAGAAGGATGTGAAGGTCCTTGAATGCATCCAGAGGAGGGCAACAAAGCTGGTCAAAGGGCTGGAAGGAATGTCCTATGAGGAGCAGCTAAGGACTTTGGGCTTGTCTAGTTTGGAGAAAATGAGGCTGAGGGGCAACCTCATTGCTCTCTACAGCTTCCTGAGGAGGGGAAGTGGAGAGGGAGCTGCTGATGTCTTCTCCCTGGTATCCAGTGATAGGACGTGTGGGGAATGGTTCAAAGCCATGCCAGGAGAAGTTTAGACTGGACATTAGGAAGCATTTCTTTACCAAGAGGGTGGTCAGCCACAGGAACATGCTTCCTAGAGAGGTGGTCGATGCCCCAAGCCTGTCAGTGTTAAAGAGGCATTTGGATAATGCCCTTAATAACATGCTTTAACTTGGTCAGCCCTGAATTGGTCAAGTAGTTGGACTAGATGAACACTGTAGGTCCCTTCCAACTGAAATAGTCTATTCTATTCCTGGACCACTGGGCAGGGAGTGTGGGTGGAAGTCCCAGGTGAGGCTGGTCCAGGTAATTAAGACCTACTGGTGCTCTCTGATTCTAGCAGTAGGGATTAAACAGACATTTACACAGATTTCTGAAAGACAGATGTCTGGACTGATTTCCATTTAGTTCAAGAATAGCCAAATTTTGGGTGTTTAGGGGGGAAATTTAGAACTACTGGTATTGTGAGCTAACTTGGAAAGTTCATTGCAGAAGCACCTGGGCAGATGAAGTTTTCTCAGTTCTCTTTCTACTCTATTTCCCAGTGCTTCATGAAGGGCTATTCAGCACAGGCACTTTAGCTATACAGGTTGTATATACTGTTACACCCAAGTAAAGAAGCCCTTCTAGAGCTCAGCTCCAGGAAATCAAACGATTTCCCATTTTTTAAAATATTTTTAGCAGACTCTTCTGCTCATCTTTTAATAGTGGTATTTAGGACAGGTTCCCAGAGCATGAACAACCTCTGTCCCCTTCTCAAGTAATTAACTCAAGTTAATGCAGCAAAAACTGAAAATGCATTCGGTATGTTACTGCTGTACATCATCTTGCAGTATGTGATAGGAAAGGCAGTATTCAAGCAATGATCTTGAATAGTCATTTGTATTTTAAAAATAAAGTCATTTATACACAGGTGGGTTTTTCCTGATATTTTAGTGCTTGGTTTTTCGTACTTCCTTTTTTAGAAAAGAAGGAAAAATTGCTTTTGTAATACCAGGTAAAGTTCACCTTTTAATCTTTTGAAGTAGAGTATGTAAGTTGCATAGGTGGCTTGGGAAAGAACCAATTTAATATCAAAGTGGACTATCTTTTGTGCTCATCCGTTTCTTTTGTTACTTAACCATTTTCCTCTCCTGAAATCTTACAGATTTGTTGAGAGAATTCTTTTTCTTGAAGTTAAACTAAATTAATTAAATATCCTGAAGTTTGAGCCTCATCAGTATTCCCAGAATCAGCTATGTTGGTTGATAACAAAGTCACAGTAATTGGTATTTATCCCACTTAGTGAATGTGAAGTTTAAAAAGAACTGTAGAATGTTAAAATAGAAAAGTGTTTTGACTTGAGAAATGCAGTTCATCACTTGGAAATTATGTGAATCTGTTCATATAAGTTGGTGGAGCAGGCCCAGCTGTGGCAGTGCAGGCAGGTCAAGGAAGCAGCATATTGAAAGAAAATTCCTCTTCTGAAAGGAATGAACAAAGTTTGTTTGAAATGATGGGGCTGCTATGTCAGCAGAAAAGCATCTTCTGTCAACATAAGCTGTGTCTCTGCCAGCAGGCGCTCTCAGCACAGCGTAGTTGTTGTGACAAAGGCTCTATGAGGGGATTTAAATTTTTACTGTAGTTGCATTACAGTTAAGTAAGAGAGAATTTATTTTGATTTCTTCTCCTTTTGGCTCCCCTCCTCCCCCCAGTTAAAATAATTTGAGGTTTATGGCTCTCATTCTATA